TCATGGAAAATCTTGAGGTAAGTCACTTATGATCATTGTTAGTCAATAATATTGAATTATCATCGATTATTTTGACTACATTACGTATTTTTTAGGTGTAATTCGAGGATTTGGGCCTAGGGATTTAAAAATAAGATTTGAGGATTTGAAGGTCGAGTTAATGTCGGAATTTGGTAAATTTGATATGGTTAGACTCGTGGTTGAATGGGCATTCATATTTTATAACTTTTGTCAGGTTTCGAGATGTGGGCCCAATTAGCATTTTTTGAGTGGAATTTTGGATTTTGTTGGAAAATTAGAGCCTGTTTGGACATAAGAAATTTTTCCTTTTTTTCCAAAAACAAAATTACTTTTTTCGAAATCAGCGTTTGTTCATAAAATTTTCAATTTATACTCTATTAGTTGTATGTTTGACATTACTTGGCGCTCATAAACTAACTTCTCCTTATAGTTCTGGATGATGAAGAAAGAACAGAGAAAAATGAAAACTTTTTTCATATGTAAACTACATACACCAATATATCTATCTCACAACACAACAACAAGAAATTACAATCTTCCCAAATGCTATTATTGTTCAGATATGCTAAAATACAATTGCCAGTAGAGACGAGAAGGGCTATGAGGTATAAATGAATTTAGTTGAAATCTTTTCAGATGTAAAATGAAAACTGCAATAGGAATAACAACGCTAGTCCCTGTTTTGGCTCGCAAAATCCCTCACTGAATACATAAAACTAATATGTCATTCATAAAATAATTAGCTTTTTCAAAACTTGTATGCACTCTGTATAAAATAAAATTCTTCGGACAATATGCTACAAACTTGAATACACTTCAAAAAATTAAATTATCAAATTAGGAATCCCAACCCAATAATCTTTTCACTAATTATATAAACGAAAAAATACCAGATTATGAAATCTTACCAATTTTTTAATGTTAGAGAAGAAGAAGAAGAAGAAGAAGAAGAAGAAGAAGAAGAAGAAGAAGAAGAAGAAGAAGAAGAAGAAGAGGAAGAACTCGAATAAAGGTGCAATAAGCGGAATCAGAACACTTAGAGAAGAAAAAGAGCAACTTGAAAGAGGAGGCATACCTTGAATTCTCAAACGAGCGAGATGGAAACTAGGGCAGAGTTGAATTCGCACACGACCAGATTCACAATCTGTGTTTTTTCAAAACACAGATAAACGAGATGGGCTCTAAATTAGCTAGGCGAAGATTAGGGCAGAGCTGATGCGGTTTTGAGAATACAGAGCATTTGTTTAATTTACTTTTTAGAGCCTTTTACTTTTTAGTTTTAGCGCCTGATTTTTAGAAAATAATAGTTTTTTAATATTTTGGTATTAGATTTGTCGCCCCTCAATTATAATTTGGGACTAGCTACTATTTTTTTTAGGGACCAGATTTAATACCTTCGCAATAAAATAAAGCATTAAGGACCGCAGTATAATCTCCTCCCAATACATATATTATTAGCGACGGGATTATTAACTCGTCCCTAAAAGTTGATCGTAAATAAGGCTTTTTCTTGTAGTGTACATAGCTAGAATCTTCTAAGGACTTTCCTAGCAATTCCATATGGTTCTAAGGTCTTCCATGAGAAATCTCCATATTTCTCTGGAACCTTCCCACATGTGCTTGTCTATTTCATATGTAAGCTTTCCATATGACAAAAATATTTGCCAACTGGCACCTACGTGGCATGATGATGTGGTGAGCCATGACAATAAGTTTCAAAAGTCTTTCTTTCTTTCTTTCTTAGCTCCCGTTTGAATATAAATTTTTGCTACTTTTTTCAAAAACAAATTGAAAATATTGTTTGTCCATGGAATTTGATCATCTTTTGAAAAAAATTTGAAGAATAATTTTCATGTTTCAAAAACTGATTTGGGTCAGTTTTGGGTGAAAACTTTTCTTCCACTCACAAAATTTCAACAACAACAATAACCCAGTATAATCCCACAAGTGGGATCTCGGGAAGGTAGTGTGTACGCAGACCTTACCTCTATCCTGGAAGATAGAGATGCTATTTCCGACACATTCACAAAATTTCAACATCTTTTCAAATAAAATGTATGTCCAAACACAATTTCAACTTGCAAAAACTATTTTTCAACATAACTTTAAAAAAAACTCTATTTTCAAGGTTCAATCAAATTTATGTCAAAATGCTAGCTTAAGCTTCGTATCAACTCAAACTTTGCCCAATAAGTAGAACGAAAAAAGTATCATTTAACTCGAATAGTTTGATGTGTGCGCTAGCTAGGCATCTTTGTAGTCCCATGTTGTAGGTGTGCTACAACGGAGCAATAACTTGACTTTCTTCCGCACCCAAAAATAACTTCTCACTAAACATGTTTTATCTTCGTCAACAACCATTTCTTTCTTGATTGTTTCCACTTCTGTCACCTTCATTTTCTCCTTGTGGAGCTTCCGCATTACATGAATTTCAGCAATATAGGGTCCAACTTGTGCCATGTCTCTTCTTCTTCAAGAATTAAGTAAAGAAAATAAGCTCTTCTTTAGTTTATTAAATTGTCAAATATATGCAATTGCTTTTTTTAATTATATGGTATTTATAGTTTCTTGGCTGCTTGGGGAGCAAGGGAGCATGGAGTATGTCTTCATCATTGGGGCGTTAGAGTTAGGAGAAGAATGGAAAGTCAAGTCAAGTCTGACCAATTGGAGTTAAGAGAATAGGACTTGGAGACCAAGTAGTTTCCAGTATTTGACCATGTCTACATCTCTTTTTTTGTTGTTCTTTTATTGGGTATAGCATATTATTTGAGAAAGTTCATATATTATCTTTTTGGAGATCAAAGGCTTATTTTTCCTTTAACTGAAAAGGTTTTAATACATTTCAAAAACAAATTATATGTAGCTAAGACCATTTTACTTTCTTTAATATTATTTGGTTTTCTAAACTAGCTTTCCTTAACATAGAGTTAAAATATGGTAATTGTCAGCCAGCTCGAGTGGCGTAATGTTTTCAATAAGGGCTTTTTTCACTTTTAGCTCGTGTTAGAAATTATTTATATTCGGTAGCTCAAAAAAGTGTATAAAATTTATATAATTTTTGTATATAACATACATAATGCGTGTGTATATACACAAAATATACCAAAAAAATAAATAAATATTTTTTGACTATTATTTTTAAAGCGGTTATACAATGTCATTTTCCCTTTCAATAATGTCCAAACTTGGGCCTAAAGTGCCAAAAATGGGTCCTGTCTTCTGAGGACTTGGACTGAGAAGGCCCATAGGAAACAGTGATCAACAAATGTTGCCAACAAGAACTAGGGAGAAATTCAAAAATAGCTAGATTTATAAGTAGTAATTGAAAAATAGCCACAATTTCAAAAGTAATCGAAATTTAGTCACTTTTCATGTAAAGATAAATCTGAACGAAAACACTGTTCAAAATCCGAAAAATATTCCAGCATAATATACTGGAGTTCCAGTATAATATACCGGTCCAACATAATATGCTGCAAGTTCATACACATGTACTCCAATCTCCAGTATATTATGCTGGAACTTTCCGCGTGTTGGAGTTCCGGCATAATATGCTGAAAGTTCATACACAGGTGCACCAATTTCCAGTATATTATGCTGGACCGATCCGTGTTGCTGCCTTTATTTCTATTTTTTGTATTATGACTATTTTATTCATATTAACATCCAACCTCGTTGCACTTATGGTCTTTACACGGTCAAGTGGGGGAGTTTAGAAGGCACCACTGTTTTTTATTATACTCTACAAAGTATGCAATATGCGTACACTTATACCAATTTTCTAGGATAAAAGAGTGGAGTATAATTTTTCAAATGATAATCAACGTAACACCAAAAGAATTTCTTAATGGTAGATTAGCATAGAAGAAAGAAAGTTCCTAAATCTTCTTGTCATTAGCTATAGTACTAACACAAAAGAAGAAGAAAATAATTAAAGCCAAAGCCATGAAACGACAAAGACATAACAAAGAGCCAATGGGATATCCAAAAGATCACATTCAACTCCATTATTATCTTCCTCACACTTTGAATATTACAGGTATGATATAAGTAATAGGGAGCAGAGATCGATCTCACCATCGCACATTCTAAGTAAAAAGAAATTCAAATTCAGGAAAAAAAAATAATGAACCAATAGAAAAATACTAAAGATGGAAGGGAGAAAACCTTTAGAGCGAAAACTTTCTAAAAAATTCCCAAAAAGTTAACTATCTGCAATGGAATTTCATTTTCAATTGTATATTTAGGAATGCAAGAACAAAGAGTAGAAAAAAGAATTAAAGTAAAAGAATATGTCATTTAATTATAATTAAAGTATAAAGGGTTATATACCCATATTTTTTACACTAATTAATTAGAGTAAATTGTCCTTGTTTGCTTCTTTGTTGAACTATTGGCCTTTTTATACTGTCACAGTAGAATGCTCTACTTTAAGGAACTCTTTTTAGTCGGTAAACTATATTGTGTAGAAAAGTTTGAGTCTTAAGAAAATGATCATTATAAATGTTTTGACACCACCATACCTTTTTTATGCAATTTGTGATGTGCCCACCTGTCTTTTTTTCCTTCTAACATTGATTAAGCTGAAGTGTTGAACCTTCTCATTGCACTTGAATACGACCAAGTAAAGACTAAAACAACAAATGGTGGCAATCCAACTAAAGAATTGTGGACTTCCGATAACAAAGACATGCACAGTACACATTTAATGATAAGTCAAAGTCAAATTACGCTAATAATTCATAGATAACTGCACAAAAAATACGCACTCCCAATTTTTAAACCTTCCTTCTTGAATTTTTAAGGATTAAAAAGTAAAAACCTTGGCCACTGCTATGAATTCAGTACAAACCAAGATTAAGCAACAAATCTATAGTTGGTAAGCCAAGAAATTAAACTACAGGAAGAAAAAGAAAAATGGGCTACCTGATCATTTTGCTCGAACTGTTGCCACTTGAAGAACCAAAATCAAGAAGAGATATAAAATGGCAATCAAGTCCATTCCCTTCGCCTATCATTAGAAATCTTCTTACATTTTTCTCTTTATTTTCTCCCCTATTCAATACATAATTTTTAATAGCTTCAACAATATTTTCAGCAAATACAAAAGGAAAAAAATAGAAGATTACTCTCCTTTTCAAATTACACTCTTCTTCATACTATTCATATCTCCATTCTTACTCCTCTAATTTTTTCTGCATATTATCATACTTGTCCTCTAAAAATTTGACATTCCCAGGAAATACATTTTCCTTGATTAGCTCTTCCTCCCATTTCAGTACATCAATCACTTTCCCTATAAATAGAAAAGACATCAGCAAAGAGAAAAAGAAAACAGTGGAGCGCCACCATACATGCACACCAGAGAAAATAAAAAACGTACAAAATCATATCCAAAGATAGAATTTCAAGTATCGTTCATTGCATTAGAACCATAACAGTACTCATAAAACACATTCATATTGCAGTAAAGGGCAAAATATAAACGAACCTAATTTGTTGACATTGTTTGAACCATTATGAAAATCGAAAGTCACTCGTCAGCACGCTCGCTTGAAATGGTGTTACTGACAGGTCATTGGTAGTATGCTTGTATAGTTGTATGCTTTGGAGGGTCTGAGGATGAATGGAGAATTATTAGGAGAAGATAGTTGGAAAAATCAAACGGCTATCCCATGTTATGAACCGAAGAAAGGTCGGGAATTTTACCTTGGGATTTGAGAGAAGACTCGCTCAGAACGTGGGGTGTGTTAAAGAAAACAAAACGGCTATGTGGAGTTTTATAGTCAAAGGACAAAACTAAACGGCTATCGGGCTTAATGTTTTGGGTCATTAAGTAGTATTTATTATTTTGAGTAGTGGGCTAATAAAAATAAATGAATTGGAGTGAAATAACAGAAACAATTCAAAAAAATCAGAAAAAAAGATAAATATGAAAGCTGGCTATAGAGGGATGCCACAACAGCTGGCCAATTCTCAACTTTATATATATATATAGAGAGAGAGAGATTGGGTACGTTGTGGACTAGGTTTGTGCATTTGAGTGAAGGATTCCATGCATTTTTTGTGTGCAGTAATCGACTCTAATATTTTGTAGATTTGGGATATTAAAATTCATTTCATGGACCAGGTCGTTGCCTTGGTTACTAATCTAATATACTTAGGCGAATCTTTGTCACATAACGCGTATTTTCTTCCACGTTCTTAACCGTGGCATAATATGTAAGACATTCAAATTCTTTCAAAGACTTGCAACATTTCAAGGGTCAAACACAACAATTTGAAAAAGTACAATTATAGTACTCCCCCGTCTCAAATTATTTGCCGCATTTTTCTTTTATACACCCCTTAATAAAATATTAACTAAAAAGATTTTTAATTATTTTACCCTTATTTATGCCTTAAGATATAATCCCTCTTCTCTGAGTATTAACTCAATTTATATTTTTGTAGTCTTCAAAAGACAATTAATACCAAGGATTTGTGAGTTTGTAGTCTTCGAGAACAATCAATACTAAGGTTTAAATGAAAAATAATAATTAATTTTGCTTTGGAACTTCTAAAATGACAATTAATTTGAGACAAATATTTTTAGAGATCACGACAAATAATTTAAGGCGAAGAGAGTAGATACTGGATACTATATTCTGTAAAATATTATAATTTTTTTTATAGTGCCCCTCAAAAGTTATAACCTACATCTACAGAATTAGAAATTTGAATCCATCTCAGGAAAATGATGGACTCTTTGTCTGCAACTTATTAATGAAGGATTCAATGCTTAATACGTGGTGGGCGTTTGAGTTTCGGAAGTTAAGGAGAATATTGTAGAAATGGCATGGGATAGCCATTTTTTAATATGGTATGTAGTTTTTATTCAGTATTTTTAATGCTGAGAAAAAATAGCCACTACACTATTAAAATTAATATAAAAAGATTATAGCTAATACCTATCTATAGCTACGAAATTTTAGCTACGAATTTAAAAATTATAGCTAATACCTAATAATAGCCATAAAAATTAAAATTCTATGGCTATTTGCAAAACTATAAAATTTCTTTGCCACAAAAATTAAGTTGGTAAAGCTAATTCCTCATATTAGCTATAATTGCTAACAATCGTGGCAATAACTATCTAAATAGCTACAAATTTATTGCTACAAATAAAGTTTGGTAGCTAATCATAAGTTTTTGCCACGCATCAATAGTTACTGTAGCAATAGTTACCTTTTAGCCACAATAAATTATTTAAAACAAAATATTGTAGCTAAATGAATATTTTTGCTTCAAATTCTAAAAAGTTATGGCAATAGTTAAATGATATAGCCACAGATTTATTGCTATAACTGACTTATGTAGCTAATCACTAGTTTTTTTGCCACGAGTTAAAATTTACTATAGCTATAGTAACTTTTTAGCTATAATAGAATATTTAAAAGAAAATATTGTAGGTAAATGAATATTTTTGCTTCAAGTTATAAAAAGTTGTGGCAGTATAAGTTAAATTACCACATATTTCTTGCTTTAATAGAATTTCGTAGCTAATCATTAATTTTTGCCACGAGTTGAAACTTAATATAAACAATAACCTTTTAGTCACAATAAACTATTTAAATCAAAATGTTACTAAATAAATAATTTTGCTTCAAGTTCTAAAAAGCCATGGCAATAGTTATCACGATAAAAAGATATAACCACAAATTTATTGCTACGATAAATTTTGTAACTAATCATTAGTTTATGACACAAGGTAAATTTCCTCTAACAGTAGCAATCTTCTAGCCACATTAAAAATTTGAAACAAAATTTGTAGTCAAAAAAATATTTATCTTCTTATTTTAAGAAAATAAAAATAGTTAGATAATAGTTACAATATTTTTCATGACAAAATTAATTAGACACAAATTTAAAGTGACTATAAATATACGAGTTAACTATAACTTTAGTCGTACAGTTAGGATTGTCATTTCAATAATAGTA